TGTCAGATATGTCTGAGAAAAAAACACATCAACTTTCCATTCCGATGCTCTATCTCCGATATAAATTTAGGCTTAATCAGATCGCTGCTTCCATCTGTGCTAACAAGGTGTAAAAAGAGAAGGACGGTTACCTTAACAAAAATCAACATGCTTTGTACTTTTAATTAAAAAAACGCCAAATAAATAGATGATTTATCATCAAACAAATATATTCACGACCGTTCATCGTCCTTCAGTTTCAGTCTTACATTAAGACTTATCTACTTAGAAAGTTATAAGTCAGACAACAAAAAACAAATACATAAAAAGATGACGAGGATAGTAACGGTTACTACTAATGTACTACAGTTAATACAAATAGCAGTATAACTATAGCAACTATGGCAGTTATAGCAAAAATTGCGTACTGTAATTTATTACTCAATTCTTCGACAGCAGATTTCGTTTTGTATTTATCTACTTCTGATTTTTCAAGTTTCTCTTGCAACTGATTTACGTCAAATTCAGTATTCCGCATTCTCAATTGAAAATTGTTTTCCATCACTTCTTGTTGTGTTTGTATTTCAATCATTTTCATTTGCAATTGATTAGTTTGTTTCTCCACGAGACTTATTCGATTACTAAAGTCATTATCCGTCTTTTGCAGACATACGCGTAATGAGTCGATAATGAAACCTTGTCTCTGAATTCTATCTAGTAATGTATTTTCAACGATCTCAATCTTATTCATTGATATTTCATGAGTTTTTTTAAAAGATTTTTCCATTGTATTGAGCTCATTTTCGATTGTACGCAGTTCAAAATGATATGTCTTGTGTTGATTTTGAAATGCGATTTGTTTCGATTCTAATTGATTAAGCATTATTTTTATTTGTTTTAGTTGATCGTTTAAAAATTGAAATCTATATTCTAATGTATTTATTTGTTCAACAGTTTTATCAGAAAACATTTGAATTCTGTCTAGTAATGAATGTTTAACGCTCTCAATCGTATTCATTGATATTTCATGAGCGTTTTTAAAGGATTTTTCCACTGTATCCAGCTTATTTCCAATTGTACGCAGTTCAAAACGATATGTTTCGTGTTGTTTTTGAAAAAATGCTATTTGTTTCGATTCTAATTCATTAACCATTGTTTTCGTTTGTTTTAGTTGATCGTTTAATAACTGAAATCTAGATTCTAATGTATTTATTTGTTCGGTAGTTTTATCAGAAAACGTTTGAATTCTAGTTTGTAATGTATGTACACTAGATCTGTCTTTATCAATTAATTGTATAGTTTCGTTTATTCGCTGATCAACCGCCTGAAATCTGTTATCATTCGTTTTTATCGAAGTTTCAACTTTAGATCCAATAGTCGTAAATTTTGATAATAACATACCTTGTGTATGACTTATTGTATTTTCTAATATTTTAATACTAGCCTGAAATTCCGCTAATGTACTCTTTAATTTGACTAAATCACAATTTAGTTCAGTTGTATCATTAACTATCGAATTTTTTAATGTTGTATATTGTTCCTGCAATTTTTTCCACAACAGAACCAACCGCAACAACCACAGC